AATTTAAATTGTGTATCGTACGTCTGGCATGTACCTTGTGTCTGGTAATTATCGTACGGTTGAATGTTGTTTATAGGTTGAACTGTATCGTACGTTTATCTGTTTATTGTTATACTGTGGTAGGTGTTATCGTACGTCTGGCAGTTGTTATGTTTGTGTTTAATATTTTTGTTTGTTCTTTCTTCTCTTCGATTTCCTCATGCACCTCTTTATCACTCATTCTCCCCTTTCCCTCATTTTCTTCCTCTTTCTACTTTTCTTTCTTCCCCTACTTCTACAGTCTCTTGTTCTTCTCCCCTTTTTTGTCTCTTCTTTCTCTTGCTTCTCCCCTACCTCTTCCTCCTTCCCCCAATTCTAACCCCTCTCACTCCCCTCCTCCTCCTTCCCCTCCCCCCTATTCTAACCCCTTCTTCTCCTCCTCCTTCCTCCGTTAAGGCCGTTATAATAGACAAAAGAATACACACACCGGAGCCACAGGTGTAAGGCAGGTGTAGAGCCACGTACGAGAAGCGAGTTGTGCACTTGTAAACAACCTGGTGTGTGGGGAGGGGGGTGAAGGGGTGTGTGGGGAGGGGGGTGAAGGGGTGTGTGGGGGGGGGGTGTAGTGTGTATGGGGGTGAATATGGGTGAAAGAGTGAGTGTGTAGGGGGTAGTGCCTTTGCGGGGGAGGGAATGCAATAATAATAATAATAATAATAATAATAATAATAATAATAATAATAATTAACGGTTTATTAAAAGAACCTGGCAGCCAAAAAGGTTAAAAATACAGTTACATAATTGGTGAATGGGTCACTTGATTGATAAATAATATACAAGTAACATAACTCATCCAAATATGATATATAATAACTAGGTGGGGAGAAGGTCAAACTACAGGGAATTTCAACATAGTGACAAGTTGTTGGCGCTTCCAATAACTTGATGACATAAACCACTAACTCTTCAGGCTTCTACGCCCTTGACTCTTCATGCTTCTACGCCCTTGACTCATGAGACATAAAGGCAAGCATGACCTTAGCATGCTTCCCTGTTGGGTGCTGTAAACGCTTCTGCGCTTCACCTTACACAAGGATGTAGGGGAGTGGGCGTGGCTAATAAATGAAAAAGAAAAGTGACAGTGCAAAGAGTAAGGTTGACTGGGAGAGAATATACTGGTTGACTACAAGTTATTGATGTGTTTGTGTTTATGTGTGTTTGTTTGTGTGTGTTTGTGTGTTTATGTGTGTTTGTGTTTATGTGTGTATTTGTGTGTTTGTGTGTGTTTTTTGTGTGTTTGTGTGAGCATATAGCGCATCACACCTCGATATTTAGAACACGTACAGTACATTGGTCAAGTACAGTACGTGAATTAGGTTCAGTAGGGAGGTAGTTCACGGACATAGTACGGACCGTGACAAACCTGACCATACGTGCGTGTCCGTAGATGTTTACATGTGTGTGTGTGTGCGTGTATGTGTATGTATGTATGTATATGTATGTATGTATATATGTATGTGTGTTTGTGTGTGTGTGTCTGAGTCTGTATCTGTGTGAGTATGTATGTATATGTGCGTGTGTGTATGTATGTGTGTGTATGTGTGTCTGTATCTGTGTGAGTGTGTATACTTCTGTGTGTGTATGAGTGTTCCTGCGTGAGTGTGTGTATCTGTATATCTGTGAGTGTGTACTGTATATTCGTGTAAGAATGTATGTATGTATATGTCTGAATGTGTGTGTGTGTGTGTGTGTGTGTGTGTGTGTGTGTGTGTGTGTTTAAAAGACGAGGTGACTTTGCCACTTGCGGGAGATGACACCAAACCGCAGGCGGCAACCGTGATGATGTTTTAACGCTGTGTGGAGGAAGGTTTGGTGTGTGTGTGTGTGTGTGTGTGTGTGTACAAGTATGTGTGTGTGTGTTTCCATGTATGTATGTCAGTGTACGTTTTTTTCTGTGTGTGTGAAAGAGAGAGAGAGAGAGAGAGAGAGAGAGATGTGAAAGGAGAGACAAAGAGAAAGTCCAACTATCAAAAGAAGAGCCAGACAAACACTCAGTCAGACAGTCGTAAAATTATCAACAATAACAATAATTTCTTCCTATACAAATTATCTTCACATATATGGGGGAGGGTTATTAATAAACATTCCTGTTGTCTGTCTGTCTGTTTTGTTATCTGTATGCCCTACTGTCTCTGTCTGTCTGTCTGTTTTGTTATCTCTATGCCCTACTGTCCGTCTACGTGTCCGTCCAAACCGACGAATTATATCACTGGTCGATAAATAAAACATCCACATCACGTTGTGGGCGTTTTCGAAATGACCAGAACGCGAAATGACGTTATTGGTTAGGTTAAAGTTAGGTTAGATTTGCCCAAGTTAGGTTAGGTAGCGTTGGGGTGTCTAATCATCAGGTGAACCAATACATGTGTAAATTAAAATGTGTTTTCTGTCACGAGTGTAATGGAGAAAGTGAATGCGGCCCGGATGTCGCCATTAAAATGTTCTGGAGCTTTCTCATCCT